GAAAATAAGTAGACAGAACATGTCTAAACTATTCAAAGAAACATTCAATATATATATATATATATATATATATATATATATATATATATATATATATATATATATATATATATCAATTTCAGTTGAGCTCTCTGGGGACGAGGTGTGGGTTGGTAAACAGTGACTATTATAGCTATATAGCGAGACTCTTCGCAGATGCGAATTGAATAACTGTCGGTCACTGGGCGTGTTTCTAAAAATAAATACGCTAAAAATCCACTTTCATCTCTAATGGTTAGAATCTCCGAATGACACCAATTCAGTCGGGTTTCGATCCTAGCTAGAGGCAACCGGGTGTCTAGCCACACTGATGAGCTGCGAAACAGTCTGTCTGTGGATGACGTTATATATATATATATATATGAAGAAAAATATACGGAAAAAACAAACAAAAATCCTAATATGCACTTATTCTGTTTTAATGTTAATATAATGTCAACGTCAGACATTTCGGTCTAGTAGACCATCTTCAGGACATATTCATAAAACATAATTAACATTAGACTAAATTTAATTCAACATGAAAAGACGATCCCTACCATGCGCTGACGGCTTAATGGTTAGAATCTCCGACTGACACCAATTCAGTCGGGTTTCGATCCTAGCTAGAGGTAACCGGATGTCTAGCCACACTGATGAGCTGTGAAACAGCCAAAAAGTCTGTCTGTGGATGACGTTGTATATATGCATACATATTTCACTCACACACATATATATATATATATATATCTGTGTGTATGTATATATAAATAAAAAGAAAGAACAGTAAGATATATGATCCGGTCTTCTTATAGATAATTTTATTTTTACAAAATAGTGCTCAATGTAAATTTACAGAGCATTAATATTATAAATTAATTGATTTAAAATATGTTTTTTTTCGCTACACAGTTCTAACCATGTTTCAAAAATGGAAGCTAAAAGCTCCGAATTTAATTTTGTAATTAAATTAAAGACATTAGTTCCATTTCATCCTCAAGCGAATTTTGGAGCAACTTTTAAAATTACTGGGTTTTAAAGACACAACAAAAATCATAATTCACGTTTCCATGGTTACAGAGACATCCACTTTCACCCAGACAAGGGGTATCTGCGTGTTCATTATGGCTTTATTTTGATGTATCCATCAATTTTGGTTATATATAATATATATATATATATATAATGTATATATATATATATATATATATATAACCAAATTTGATGGGTTTTTTTTTGCGAAATGAAAGCAAAAATTCTCTGAATTAATGAATAAATTGTATACCAAATACGTTATTTTATTAGAAAACTTTGGAAATATTTGGATGGATCAGTTTGCTTCCACCCAACTCTTTTCGATATTTCGTGTATAGTTTTGGAGAAATGCTCATCTCCAGAAATTATTTCAACAATTTTTTTTTTCCTTATTTTTCTTAATAAGTGGACCAGTCTATTCAAGTAGTGACGAAAAGCTAATTTATAAGTGATCATTTTTCTTACATGTGTGTATAAAGTTAGGGGTATTGAGTTTCTGAAAAAAAAATGAATTAAGCGACCTTCTCAACGACTTTTCTCATTGAACAATTTTTTAAAAATTATTACTCTTTCGCCAGTCTCTCTATATATATCTCACTCTCGCAGCCTTTCTTTTTCCTTCTCTCTCTCTCTCTCTCTTTCTAATTCTCTCGCAGACTTTCTTTATCTCTCTCATTCTCTTTCGCTGTCCCCTCCCATGTCTCTCCCTATCTGCATCAAGTTTCAATCAAAGGTTCACGTGACACCGGAAAGGGCCGAAAAGAAATGTTGCCAAACAAGCGTAGATCAATTTTCTAAAAAAAAAAAAAATTTTCACGGCTTACACTGCATCTGTAGGGGTTGCTATCCAAAATGTCAAGGTTGCCATGACAAAATTTACCTAAATACATGGTTTCCACCGAGTTTATTGAAGTTGCTTCTTTAGTCAGCAATTTGCACATTGGCAAAAAAAAAAAGCTTTGCTGTAAATTGTATTACATTTTGTTCGTCCGCTGTTCAAATTCTGCATACCGTTTTATATATATATATATATATATTAAGAAATGGACAAGGTCCGACAATTTATTTATTAAAGACATTTTTATGTTTAACGTTGTTATTTTATAGATACAAGTATTTAAGCAAATGCTCTGTTTATGATAAACAGTATTAAATAACATTTACCGGCCTGAATGTCCGAGAAATTTTCATAGAAAATATTCGTTCTTTGACAGGATTCGAACCTGCATCCTATACGGAACCGTCATATACGCTGATGTGCCTTACCTCTAGGCTACAAAGAACCGTTCGGTAGACAAGGTCGAATTTACTGCTTATAAACTCCATAAACCTTGTCCATTTCTTAATATATGACGTCATTTGTTTACATTTCGATACGCCAGAGCAGTTATGAATGTACGAGATTCATGGAAGATTGAAGTTTACAAGCAGTAAATTCGACTTTGTCTAACGAACGGTTCTTTGTAGCCTAGAGGTAAGGCACGTCAGCGTATATGACGGTTCCGTATAGGATGCAGGTTCGAATCCTGTCAAAGAACGAATATTTTCTATGAAAATTTCTCGGACATTCAGGCCGGTAAATGTTATTTAATACTGTTTATCATAAACAGAGCATTTGCTTAAATACTTGTATCTATAAAAATAACAACGTTAAACATAAAAAATGTCTTTAATAATATATATATATATATATAGATATATAATATATAATTATATATATAATAATATATATATATTAAAAAGAAGAGAGGTGCCGCAAACGTTTTTGGTTGTAATGTGGATTTATTTAGAAAAAATATTATGCATTGTTTTACATAATTTTACGACACGTGTTTCTGGTCTCGCGACCGTCTTCAGGGTAAAAAGTGGAATTTCCACATATTATTAAAAATAATTAATTTTTCTTCATGTTCAATGTGAAATATTCTTGATATGAGACATTCTCTGTTTGTGTGTTGGTAATCCGAATTTCTTTCTAGAATTGAATGTCTCATATCGAGAATATTTCACATTATACATACTTTTCTCTCGTTGGAACCACTACAACATATTTCTTTTATATATATATATATATATATATATATCATGTGAGGAGAGGGAGTTGTGTGTGACTTTTATAAAACACTGGGCGTATTCTTTACTGAAATCCGACTCATTACGTTAGTTTAGTATTTTGTTTTGTTATTTTTATAATAAAATCAGTATTGTTTTCCCGCCACCCAGTGACATCAATAAACAAATCGGCAGTTTACAAAATAAACTGAATACATTTAGTAATTAGTTTCTACATCTAAATGGCCTTGAATTCGGTAAAAAAGATCTGTGCCCAGTAATAAAGTCACAGAAAATAAGGTCACAGAAAAAAAAAAGTATCAATTTTGTCTAGGAAAAAAAAAAACTCACAATTAATTCATGGTACCTGGTCTATTTCTGTCGGGTTCTTCATAAGTTTATAGGTCCGCTCTGTTTATTATAGAAATTCATAAGTAAATCGATCCAATGTGTAAAAAATCGTTTTCTAACAATGCGACGATCACATATTCGATATATCTCCTAGTTAGGGAGTTCTAGCATTCCATAAAACTTGATTTTATACGAAGAAAGCCTTAAGAAGTGTTTTTTTTAGTTTTTCTTTTTTTTATGTTTTTTTTTTTTTTAAAAAGACAAACAAAAAAAAACCCACACCGATAGAAAAAAGCCGCAAACGACGTTTCCTAACAAATACTAAAGTTACGTATTCGATCTATTTCATAGGTAGAGTGTCCTAGTTTCCCATAACCTGACTTTATGAGAAAAAAAATCTCAATTTCACATTAAGAATTGAATTAAAAATTCATTGAATTTTCAGTTTATATATGAGACTGGGATCTTGTCCACTTTTGGGGATTTTGTTCTTTTTTTTTCTTTTTTCTTTCTTTGTGCATACTGATCTAGACCTGCTTCTTCTTTCCTGTATTATTTACATTATTCGGACTTTTATCCCCACATTCATTGCCATATTCACAACGTTTCGGCCGTTATACGATCCGGCCTTCTTCAGGTGATTTGAATTTCAAACCGAACCCTTTATTTCACCCACCAAAGTCCGGAGCGTACAAGGGACGAAACATTGTGAATATGGCAATGAAAATGAGGATAACAGTCCGAATAAATAATCCAAGTAATCATAATACCTCATCTCAGAGATATAGACAAATATTCCTTTTTCCTGTGTCTTTTTCACCGTGACATTTTTTACCTGTGACATTTTACTTAGATTCGTTGTATTTTATGCATAATTACTAAGATTAATTTATGGCTTTAAGCCAGGAGTTTATGAAAAATAAACTAACTGCGACAGTAATGCTTTATGAAATTAACTTGCTAATTATTATTCCATGGCCAGTTTAAAAGAAATATTTAAAAACTGAACTGTATCAAGGCTGACTTCAAATATGGGGCACCTAGTGTGGATCGAACTCACTATTCCGTCGTAACTGATCTAGCAAGACAAGCTTCCTAACCATTACACCATGTCGACGTGCCTAATATTAAATTACTAAGCGTAGCTTAGATGTGGCACAAGGCCGAATGTATGGGGCACCCAGTGAGGATCGAACTCACTATTCACTGTTTTAGCGAGACGAGCTTGCTAACCATTACGCCACGCTGAGGTGCGCCAGATCTTTTTCTGCATTTTTTTAATTTTTTGTGAGCATGGAACATGGAAAAAGAGAGTGTGCCCCAGTGGCTTATTATTTCTCTGTTTTTCTTCAATAGTTGTAAGATCCTAAAATATTTTTCGACAAGCTATCAGACGATAGACCACAACTTTGGTAAGTATTCATTTAAAATAAATAAAAATAAAAAAATGCTTCGGTTTGTTCTGAAACCGGTTATTCGGTTCTGTCGTTGATAATTTTGATGTGATTGGGCTACCGTAGACGGGGTGACAAGTGAAAGGTCTCATGAATGACTTTGGCTACACCTCCAGACAAAACGCCGACGGAAATGTTACAATGAATCGTACAGCGTCTGGTTCACGAGTCGAGTTTCTCAATGACCAATTCGCCGACAAGTTTTGTTTTCTAGTTTGTCTTTTCGTTTTTATTATTATTTTTTTTTTTTAAACTTTTTTTTTACGTTTTTTTTTAACTTTTCTTTTTTACTTTCTTTTTTTTTTTACTACTCACCTTCGTCTTCTGCTTCGAGTTTTCATTCCATTTCCTTCTCATTGACACTCTCACTCTCTCAGGCGACCAGTTCATTTTGTTATTTTGTTTCTAGTCATTCTCTCTCTCATTCACTCTATTCATCCACCTCTACATTTTCTTAATCTATCTATCCAATCTATCTATCTATCTATCTATCTATCTATCTATCTATCTATCTATCTATCTATCTATCTATCTAAGCCTGTTCCTTTCTTCCTTTCTATCTCAGCCAGTCCATTATCTATCTGTTCATTTCATATATATATATATATATATATATGTAAGCAAATATATGGATATAAATCCGACAGTATGAAAGAAAAATACAGAAAAAACAAATTAAAATATCAAAAAGTCGATTGAAAACGATTGTAACGGGAAGGACTTTCAAGCTTGTTGAAGATATAAGAACCAATTGTTTCACTACGTATTCCAACATTAACGGAAGAGATTTCTTTAATTGTTTATAAAAATTTTTCATTCGACTTTTTGATATTTTAATTTTTGGAAATCATCTTCGAATGCGTCTTAACAACATCGCCCATGAGACGACTACGTGATCATATTTAAACAGAACGCTGATCTGTATAAAATTTCAGTTATCTGTCTGAATTAGTTGGGCTCTTATGTCCATCGTCTTTTGTGTTAAATTGTTATAAGTTATAATGTTAATTATGTTTTAAATGAAAATGTCCATGAAGATGGTCTTAAATAGACCGAAACGTCCGACGTCGACTTTATTTTAACATTAATAATGCATATTCAGAATTTTGTTTTTCTGTATTTTCTTTCATATATATATATATATATATATATATATATATATGTGTGTGTGTGTATATATATATATATATATATATATATATATATATATATATATATATATATATATAATTATTTATTTAAAAATATGATTCCAAATCGCTACGTAAGAGGTAGCGATTTGGAATCATATTTTAAATAAATAATTATATTTATGCTCTACTTTTGTATCCAGCACTATTTTTAAAATAATAACTAAAATACTAAGGGACTTTGGATTATTTACCTAACCAGTTCCTTCCTATTTTCTATATATTTTATATATATATATATTATTATATATATATATATATATATATATATATATATATATAATAAAGAAAAAGAAAAGTAAGATATATAATCCAGTATTCTTATTAATATTCTTATACAGTGTAACCCGGATATAAGAGACCCGGATATAAGAGAAACCCGGATATAAGAGAGATTTTCTCTGGTCCCAAATTAGAGCCTGTGTTAATGTATATAAAATAGACCAAACCCGGATATAAGAGAAACCCGGATATAAGAGACTTCTTCTCGCCAACTCTCTTATATTCGGGTTACACTGTATTTCAAAAACAGTGCTCCTTGCAAATCTCGATCCTCACTGGGTGCCCCATACTTTCGGCCATGTGCCACATCTAATCCGGGCTTAGAAAATCACTATCAGCCTTTTCATATCTATCACAGTCGGTTTATATCTATATATCTATCACAGTTTGTTCATATCTATCTATCTAAGCATGTTTCTTTCTTTCTTTCCATTTCAGATTGGGGGGGGGAGATGGTATTATTAACACATAAGGGAATGTAATTGATTCGACTGGAATTCGAACTCGGCTCTCCGATTCTTCAATCCGAACCGCTGTCCTCACGCTCCAGTCTTGATACAGTCCGAAAATGTCTCGAGTCATCGTGGGTGACGAATTATGTCATCATATATATATATATATATATATATATATATATATATATATATATATATATATATATATATATATATATATATATATGTAACCCGGATATAAGAGACCAGGATATAAGAGAAACCTGGATATAAGAGAGATTTTCTCTGATCCCAAATTAGAACCATACTTACCTAAACAAAATAGACCAAACCCGGATATAAGAGACTTTTTAAAAATCAATAATCGATAAAGCCGATAAAAATCGATGAATTCAACTTTTTTCCTCCGATTTCGTTCATTTTCGGTATGTAGGTTACTTACATCATGAGGAGCTCAACGATGCCTCATTTTATTTCTACGCCACTGCGTTTAGCGGAAAACGAAAAATCGATTTCAACACAAATTTTAAACTAAAAACTCCCACGGTTTTCAAATAACGTAATACAAACTTCACTCAAAAGTCATTTAAATTGATGATTGAATCCACTCACATAGTGAAAACCCGCGTAAATAGCGAAAAATGGCGATTTTTACTGGTTTCTTTCGAATTTTTCATTGATCATTCAACCAATTTTCATCCAACTTAACAATTGCTTTATACAGGTATCCTCTTTTACATCCCTGGTAGCATACAGACAAACTGAATTTCAAAAACTCCAAAATAATTGTGGTCTGAAGTGGGTCCTCATGTTGCCTGTTTTACACCTTCATGGCCTCGGCTAACTTCGATTGAATAAATACAGACTTCTTCTGTTATATTAGTAACTGCATTAATTTAAAATGTTTTTTAATGAAAGTACTTTAAAGTAACTGAAGAATATAAACTCTGTTACGTCTAAACATGATGCTGTTTTTGCTCCATTCTAATTGAACGCTTTTTTCTGATCGGCTAGCTTTAGCTTTTATCAAACTGTTTTAGTACGTTACTAGCAACCATACCCAGCGTTGCCAGGGAATAAGAAAAATGGTATTTCACTATAAGTTTTTTTTTTTATATTTTATTGAATTGTTGTAAAACATCTTTTTTCCTGTACAGTACGCTATTTACAACAAATTACGCTCTAAATTTAGTTGATTCTGACTTGAATGGCAATAAGTTTTCACCCTATTTTTTAAATTAAACTTAGAAAACTTAGAACTTTTCTTAAACATAGAAAAACAATTCTTTTTATGCTCAGGCATGGCTGGGTAGCATATATATATATATATATATATATATATATATATATATATATATATATATATATATATATTTATTTATTTAAAAATATGATTCCAACTCGTGACATAAGAGGTCTCATGTTTCAAAACAAGAGCCGAAAACTTCAATATAATTATTTGAATTAAATTGAGTTAAAAGTAAGCTCTGTTCCATATTCAAGAAATTTTTTCCAATTTGGTTTCAAAAAATTTATATTGAAGAAAGCTCTTGTTTTGAATTTATTTATATGAGTTTTCGGCTCTTATTTGAAACATGAGAGTTGGAGTTCATATTTTAAATAAATAATTATATTTATGCTCTACTTTTGTATCGAGCACTATTTTTTAAAAATAATAACTAAAATACTAAGGAACTTTGGATTATTTACCTAACCAGTTCTTTCCTATTTTCTATATATTTTCACACACACACACACACACACACACACACACACACACACACACATATATATATATATATATATATATATATATATATATATATATATATATATATACTCATAACACCCTCGAGCGCTTACTTAGCCTTGGAGCGGGTAGAATGGAGATCAACGTGTTTTAGTGGACTCAGCAGTTTTCAATCTGCTAGTCTGAATCGTCTTCATGAAGCGAGAGCAAGATCTAAAAGGTCAGCCAATCTAACAGGCATCTCATCTCACAATCCTCAATCTTGCTCCATATGCGGCTTCCTTTGTAAATTACTAGCGGGTCATAAGTGTCACTTAAGATTATCGCTCAAAATTTCATAACTGAATCATTTGCTTAAGTTGTCAGATCCTCATACGTCGAAACCGACAGGAGAGTCCATTATATATATATATATATATATATATATATATATATATATATATATATATCAGGCGGGATGTGACGAGCCTCTTGGTGGTCTATTGCTACTACGATGAAAAGTGCTTGGATGAATTATATTTTTGGGTTCCGCCAGATCTAATCTTCATGGTTAGGACCCACCGTGCCACTCACATTGTAGCAAACTGTCCATATTCTCCGTATTCTATCAGTGTTCCACTTGAACAGCCTCTTCCTACGAACCACTGCCAAGAGGATGTTTCCCCGATGACTGTAGTTTTAACCTGTTCAAGGCTGGGGTTATACCGTTATCTTCCCCTCTTATCCATATAAACTGCCTCAACGTAACCCTCTACCTCGAGTGGTACCCGGGCCTTATACAGGGTGAACATTACTGTAAAAAAAATAAAAATATCAATTTTCAGCCCCGGTTAAATAGTTGTGCTGAAGTGGGTATATGTTTTATATCTACCCTATTTATTTCTCTCTCACTTATTCTTTATCTCCCCTATTCTGCTCTCTCTCTCTCTCTCTCTCTCTCTCTCCCTCTGGTTGACTGTCAGTCTTTCTCACTCATTCACACACACACACACGCACACACACACACACTTTCGGCCTTATGCAACATCTCAGCTACGCTTAAAAAATCATTGCGCACTTCGACGTGATGTACTGGTTAACAAGCTTCTCTTACTAGAACCATTACAAGTGAGTTGTGAGTACGATTCTCATCGGGCGCTACATACTTTCGGCCTTATGCCACATCTAAGTTGCGCTAAGATAAAACACCACACACACACTTACACATACGCACACACACGCACGCACACACAAACGTTGGTTGAGGCTTTATGTCTCTATCGTTTATTTTTAGCATCTCTTTCTTTCATCTGTCAATCTCTCTCTCTCTCTCTCTATCTGTCTCGCGTCTTCCATTACTTTACTTCCTTCTTCACTATTCCTTCCTTCCTTCCTTCCTTCGAAGTGGATATGACGATAAACTACATCCGGCAGTAAGGCCTCTGATCGTTTTGAGGAACATGGAATCACCTCTTAATTTTGTCGTTCCCAGTGTCCACACTGACTTGGAGGGGTAGCATCTGTTAGGGTTCTGGCTATGGGCAAATAACGAATCCCCAAACAAATTCAAAAAATACAAGTTCTAGTAAAAATACATTTTTTATAAAAAAAATGACCCCAATACATATTCATAGTAAATTTACCAACAGTACATTTTTAAGGCAAAATGACCTGCAATACCTTTTACCTGGAGTTCAGGCTTAGTATTACGTTCAAAATACGTAGATTTCGGCATTAAATAAACCCATAGAGATGTTGATATGCCGCTAAACAAAATCAAGCAATAAAAAAAATCTTTCCTTGTCTCTTTTAATTTTTAATGATTGCTTTTATAGTTTCTCTTCCTTTTTTTACGACCTGTTTTAATTGTCTGTGTCTCTAACCAAAAAGCAGACAGGCACACACTCGCACATACACACACACGCATACAGACACACAAATATACACACAAATATATACACACCCTGAGAGTGTGAAAAAAAAGAGAGTAAGCCTTGATTTCATTCTTTCTTTCTTTCTTTTTTTATCAATGACCCGTTTTTGTTCTTTGCGACAATACCAGACATTTCGACGAATTCGTGTCACCACTTTCTCAATGGTTCTCTCACCCTCTCTGTCTCTCTTTCTTCACTTTTCATTTACATACTTCCTCTCTTTCTCTTTCTTCTCTTCCCTTTTCATCTACATTCTTCGTCCTCGTCTCTCTTTGTTGACCCCCGCCCCGTCTCATCACACCCACCCACCTACGACCTTCTTTAAGGTCTTTTACGTTTCACTTTTAGAGACATTGAGTGTTTTAAAATTTGTTAATAAAATTTGTGCCCCAAGCACACAATTTCATCCCCCCTCTCGTCTTGTTCGTTTTTTTAGTCTATTCTGGCACAAGGCCCCTAGTGTGCAGCATGTACTGAGATTCGAAATCACTGTAAGCGGAATGTTTCTCGACGGAACGCTATAGTAGACGTCATATTTTTTTTCTTTCTTTTCTTATTTCTTTCTTTCTTTCTTTCTTTCTTTCTTTCTTTCTTTCTTTCTTTCTTTTCCTTTTTAAATTTTACTTCTTTCCTTCCGTTTCTATTTTCTTTCGTCTTTTTCTTGCCTTTCTTGCCTTTCTTTCTTTCTTTCTTTCTTTCTTTCTTTCTTTTTTCTTTTTTCTTTTTAAATTTTACTTCTTTCCTTCCGTTCATCTATTCCTTGCTTTCGTCTTTCTCTCTTGCCTTTCTTGCCTTTCTTTCTTTCTTTCTTTCTTTCTTTCTTTCTTTCTTCCTTTTTTTTTTAAATTTTGCTTCTTTCCTTTTCATCTATTTTCTTTCGTCTTTTCTTTGCCTTTCTTTCTTTCTTTCTTTCTTTCTTTCTTTCTTTTCTTTTTTAAATTTTACTTCTTTCCTTCCGTTCATCTATTCCTTGCTTTCGTCTTTCTCTCTTGCCTTTCTTGCCTTTCTTTCTTTCTTTCTTTCTTTCTTTCTTTCTTTCTTTCTTTCTTTCTTTCTTTCTTTCCTTCGTTCATCTATTCCTTTCTTTTTTCTTTTCTCTGCCTTTCTTTCTTTCTTTCTTTCTTTCTTTCTTTCTTTTGTCTGTCTTTCGTCTTTTTTTCATTTTTTTAAAAGTTTTTTAAAATTCTGTGTAAATGAAACTAGACAGAATATTTAAAAATTTAACGTTTTTTTGTTTCATTAAAGTTTGTTTCACGTTTTTTCTTTGTTCATTTTTTCTTTTTCTCTTTTTTCTTTCTATTTTCTCTTTTTTTTTTTATTTCTTTTCATTTATCTTTTCTTTTCTCGTTTCTCATTCCGTTTTTTTTTTTCTTGCGTTTTTCTTTCTTTCCTTTTTTTTTACATTAATTTCTCTTTTTATCTTTTTTTTTTTCTTTATTTCTTTTCGGTTTACTTTCCTTTCATTATTTTTCTTTTTTATTTTTCTTTAATTTTTTTTTTATTCTTTAATATTGTTTTTCTCTTTCACTTCTCTTTTTCTTTCTTTTCTCTTCTTTTTTTCTTTCTTTTTCTTTTCATTTATATTTTCCTTATTCTTTCTTTAATCGTTTCTTTCTTTTTTCTTTCTTTCTTTATTATTTTTTTTTTTTCCATCATTTCTTTCTTTTTCGGCTTCGTTTCTTTCATTTCTTCTCATTCATTCTTAAAAAGACGCCTTCTCTTTTTACATTGTTTCTTCTCACTCGCTGGCTTTCTTTTCTCTCTCGCCCTCTCTCTCTCTCCCTCCCTCTCCCCCTCTCTCTTTGCCTCCACCCCGTCTCTCCCTCCGACTCTCTGTCACTCTCTCTCAGTATGTCTTCCTTTTCATCTCGACATCTATTTTTGATTTGTCTTTACCCCCTCCCACTCTGTTTCTTTTTCTCTCGTTCTTTCTCACTCTCACCCTCATCTTCTCTCTCTCTGTCCCGCTCTCCCCCTCCTCTTCCCCCTACTCCTCTATGTCTATCTTTGCCGCAAATCGTGTGATTTAATTCAATTATGACCTACTTCCAATTCGTACCATTCAGTAAACTGGACAGAGTTTTCAAGTGAAAACGAGACAGATATATCACAAATACAAAAATATATAAATAAAATAACACATACACCCACCCACCCCTAACGTTTGTTCTTTTTTAAAACTTATTTAAATTTTTTTTTACAGTCTCATTTTGGTTTTTAAATGACCGACAAAAATTAATTTAATTTCGACTGTTTTAACTTTTAATTCTATTACAAGCTGAGTCCATGGAAATTCCCCAGTGTTGACAACTTGACATTAACATTATTATTCCTTATACGTCTCAGCCCCTGCCCCCCCCCTCCCCCCTCCCCAGTAAGTATCTTTTCATTCTCTTCCTTATCCCTTCCAACAACAATACAAGTAAGATTATTCGAGGGACCTCCACTAAACTCGGTATAAATTTTCGATACCTAAGGTTTAAAATGAATTTTTAAAAATGAAAAAGCATTCTTGAAGATTTCATTTTAGCTTTAATTTCAACTAAAAAAAAACACTCAGTGGCGCTTTTAAGTTATAGGAAATTTTATGAAAATAATTAAGGAGTGGAATTAACAGATGTAAATATTTTGACCAAGATTTTCTATAAATAATATCTTCAAAAATAAATTCATTCTTTTGTGAATAAGTCCTAAAAGCTACATTAAAATCCAATAATTATTTGATTTTTGCGAGAATTTCAAAATTAATGTTTTTCTTTTTGGTGTAACAAGTGGAGGTACCAAAATTATTCAATATCTCAATTATCATACAACTCTGCTTTTCTTTCACTCCTAGCCTGTATCTTCTCGTTCTATCCAGCACCCTTTCCACCATTATTACACACCTCTACCTTTTTCTTAACCTGGTCTGTATCTTCTCTTTCTCACCCTTATCCCTTCCAACTATCCATTTTCTCACACCTTTGTCTTTCTATCATCGTTGGTTTGTATCTTCGTGTTTTCACACCTGGTCTGTATCTTCCCGCTCACTTCCTTATCCTTTCTAATACAACTTTCCATTACCATCCATTTGTTCTTTTCTTTCACCCAGGCTTGTATCTTCTTGTTCTCTCCCTTATCCCTTCGAACTATCCATAATCTCTACCTTTCATTCATAGCCTGACCTATATCTTCTTATTTTTTTTATTTTTTTAAGCATTTCACCCCAAGCAAGGCGCGAAGCCACTAAGACGCAAGGGGTTACAGAAAATTTAGAGCAAGATCAGATAGGAGTGATAGAAGAAAGGATGAGGGTAGTGGATAGATCAAGGCAACTGGAGATGTCGATTGACATTACACTTGAATAGCTGGAGATTATAGCTCACAGGGAAACAGGAATAGGGAAGGGAGTTCCACAGGCGAGTGGTGCGAGACATGAAGCTATTAGAGTAAAAGAGACGGCTACATTTAGGAGTTTCGACAGTGAAGGGGTGAGAGCGGGATGCCAGCCTCGTAAGGCGCTAGAACTCATGACGTCTGGGAACCAGCGAATGCAGCTCCTCGGAGCAATTTCCATGAAAGTATTTGTAGAACAGACAGAGGGAGGCGACGGCGCGTCTGTGAGAAAGTGACTGTAGACGAGACGCCCAGGCAGGGCCAACTACATTGCATATCCGCCTCTGGAGCCTATCAAGAACCCCGAGGCAAACAGAAGGGGCACCAGACCATATATGGCAGCAATACTCCATGCAAGGGCGAATTGTTGATTTGTAGATCTGGAGGATCGACTCCAGGGAGCAAAACTTCCTGGCGCGGCTCAGGGAGCCAACTCACGCTTATCCCTTCCAATACAAGTAAGGTTACACATTATCTCACAATTTTGCCTTTCTTTCATCTTCAGTCTGTATCTTCTCGTTCTGTTCCTTATCCCTTCCAACTATCCATTATCGCACAATCTCTGACTTTCTTTCACCCCTGGCCTGTATCTTCTTCTTCTCACCCTTATCCCAATACAAATAATATTATCCATTATCTCGTACTTCTTCTTTTCTCTCACCCTTGGCCGGTATCCAATCTTCGCTGGCTCTCCATATTTTAATCTAAATGTTATACAAACATGCAATAGTCAAAAACAAACGAAGATAAAACAAGAAGGAATGAGCAAATATTTTCCACCGAATCTCTCTTTTATTTTTTTATTCTTCAAAATCTTCTAGCCTTATTAACAGAAATAAGATCCCTCTGACGAAATCAAAACTATGCCAAAGTGACAATATTCACAAATTTAGATGCCACACGAGGAACTATATGTTCTGGGTATGACGATAAACTACATCCGCGTACTGGGTATGACGATAAACTACATCCGCGTCCTGGATATGGCGATAAACTACATCCGCGTCCTGGGTATGGCGATAAACTACATCCGCGTCCTGGGTATGACGATAGACTACATCCGCGTCCTGGGTATGGCGATAAACTACATCCGCGTCCTGGGTGCGGCGATAAACTACATCCAACAGCAAGGCCTCAGATAATATTTTCGGAAAAATAATGTTGCCAGCTATACGTTTTTGAAACCATAATGTTGCCACCTATACGTTTTTGAAACCATAATGCCAGCTATACGTTTTTTTGAAACCATAATATACCTATACGTTTTTGAAACCATAATGTTGCCAGCTATACGTTTTTGAAACCATAATGTTGCCAGCTATACGTTTTTGAAACCATAATGTTGCCAGCTATACGTTTTTGAAACCATAATGTTGCCACCTATACGTTTTTGAAACCATAATGTTGCCAGCTATACTTTTTTGTCTTTTAAAGTCACTCAAAATCATTTTCGGCATAAAGTGACCACTAAGGTTGAGATGCCGTTAAACAAAACAATCAAATGGAAATTCTTGACTTAAACAAAAAATACCTAGGATTATTTTGCAGTGTGCAAGCAAATAAGCTCTAGCTTGCTAAAAATGTTCCATACAAAATAGGCATTTAAAATTCATATATTTGGCATATATATATATAAACTGGATTTGACATTAAATAACCCACAGTGGTTGATATGCCATAAAACCCAAACAGACAAACAAAAAAACGAGGAACTATGTCTTCGATGAAAGCAAGCTCATAAATATTTGACACAGCATGCCTGTTAAGACAACCGGCTCTACATCTCTCTGACCAGAACTCCATACGGACATATTTAAACCAGCATGGAATCGTACGCAGCATACTCGTCAAGACACGAATGTGATACTCACCTCTCACTGCAAATGCGTTTAAAAGTGATAGAAACCATTTTTCTAAGAAAGAAAAAAACATGAAACTTTAATAACATAAATTATGAACACGGCCACAACGTACTGGCCGTATTTGGAAATTGAGAATATGTATACTTTGAATAGCAGTAAGCAGTAGCACTTGCACATCATTTATTGTTATAACATGAGATAAAATAATACTTGAAAATGGTTAACAGTTTAACAGAAAGCGCTCGGAACGAACAAACCTTTCAACAATTTTTGACATTCATTAAGTCCAGAAAAGAAGTCTTTTATACGTATAAAACATAACAGAACAATTAAACAATATCCTGTTGTCAGCCTTTTTCAACGAAACATGTATAAAAGAGATATTGTTGCCCAAATACTCAACGATATATATAAAAGTTTTGTTATGGTACAAAATTTAACAACAGCTAGGAAAAAGAAAAATTAATATGGCATTTTTTTTTAAAAAGCTAAAAAAGAACAGCCGGTTTCCTTCCATGACTTATCAAGTTTATTTTTCTGGGATATAAAAAATATACAAGCGTTTAAATTAAATTATTATAACGAATGGAATGGAAAAGAAATTATGAATTTCAAGAAACTAGAATCCAATAATATTCAGACCCAGTAAGCATTCCCTCTGTTTACAAAGGGAAGGCCCACGGGATCTGATATACAAGGAATCTAGAACCTTGAGGTGATATGAGGAGTGGGACATGGATAAAATCGAAAAACGGTCACCACTAAAATCAGCCACAAAATTCCTGCTATTTATTACATGCTCAGCAATAGCAGAGCCAGAAGTATTGGTTAGTTGGCTTTTCCTGGCATCCGGATTCAAAATCCTGGAGTGAGGGGGGGGAGTGTTATTTTAATCTCAAATCTAAACGCTGGGACGCTATATATATATATATATATATATATATATATATATATATATATATATATTATGGCTGATATAGCGAGACTCTTCGGCAAAAGCGAATTAAGTCCTGTCGATGTCTGTGTGTTTATCTATAAATAAATACGCTAAAATTCACCTTCGACAGCTTAGTGGTAGAATCTCCGGCTGACGCCAATTCAGTCGGGTTTCGATCCTAGCTAGAGGAAACCTGACGTCTAGCCCACTGAAGAGCTGCGAAACACTCTGTCTGTGGATGACATTATATATATATATATATATATATTCTGTGTAGGCAGCAAATGCTCATTAAGACAAATACTATTAAAAACAGATATTTTGTGTCGATTAATTTTAATGATCGATTTTCCTAGTTTTTTTTCCACCCAAGGAGATTCCGTCAAAAATTGTCCGAATAAAAACACAAAATGTCTTACGTTGGATATACCACAACCACTTTTTGACGCAGATTCACTTGACACATATTGAACCATATTGCTATTAGCCAACACATTAATAAACAGCATAAGGAGCATAGTAACATTACACAGCTGCTAATAAACAATAGCAATATACCAGCAAAATTCATTAGTAAAAATAGACTTATGATCCTTGAAGTAATATTCATACAACAAAAACAATGATCAATAGTAGTAGGCATCCGTTTATCCCTGTTAGGTTAAAATCTAATCATTTGGCAGAGAAAATGGAATGATCTCTCCAGGCACAGGGCTGGGCTATGGAATAAGGAGGCCATTCGCTGACCAGTTTACATGCCTTCACTCTCCGGCATTACCGACAAGATATAAAGTAATACAGTGTATTAAATTTGGGTACGGCTTAGCGGCAGGAGTTGCCGGAAAGTTGTCAGTGTTGACAATCAGCCGCCTTCGGGAACTTACTCCGGGTTTGTGATTTATTTCCATAGCCTTTTCCGTGTTTGGATATGACCGCAAGGCAGCGGGAGGTTAAAATCAGAGTTTTTCTACGCCGAGATGGAGTGTCTTCCTAGACTGTCGAGCACCATCTAACCGAAGCAGCTGGTTATGAGGCGCCAGCTTTCCGCGTTCGACCATTCTCCAGATTGGAACTGGACTTAATTGTCGGAGCCTATTTGTAACGCGTGCCACGGAAGCGTTTTACAGACAGCAAGAGCTTGGCTCACCTCCGGTTACAACAACCTTTAACAATCAATAAATAAAAACAATTATAACTTAAATGCTTACATCCTTAAAGGTATATTAAAGCATGCACACATGCGCATCACAACTAGCTTACGTCACTACTCATTTTGCTTACAACACAACACTCTTTGCTTACATCACCTCAATAGTTCTATGACTAGATCCCAAAATGCACCGCACATGCTTTCATCACATACTTCTAACAGCTTATTTTTTTTTAAAATTAGTGTTGTTACACCAATTCATATTTTTTATTAGATTCACCTATTGTCTCTAAAAGTCACCTATTGTCTCTAAAATTCACCTATTGTCTCTAAAAGTCACCTATTGTCTCTAAAATTCACCTATTGTCTCTAAAAGTAACCTATTGTCTCTAAAATTCACCTATTGTCTCTAAAATTCACCTATTGTCTCTAAAAGTCACCTATTGTCTCTAAAAGTAACCTATTGTCTCTAAAATTCACCTATTGTCTCTAAAATTCACCTATTGTCTCTAAAAGTAACCTATTGTCTCTAAAATTCACCTATTGTCTCTAAAATTCACCTATTGTCTCTAAAAGTAACCTATTGTCTCTAAAATTCACCTATTGTCTCTAAAAGTCACCTATTGTCTCTAAAATTCACCTATTGTCTCTAAAAGTAACCTATTGTCTCTAAAATTCACCTATTGTCTCTAAAATTCACCTATTGTCTCTAAAAGTAACCTATTGTCTCTCAAATTCACCTATTGTCTCTAAAATTCACCTATTGTCTCTAAAAGTAACCTATTGTCTCTAAAATTCACATATTGTCTCTAAAAGTCACCTATTGTCTCTAAAATTCACCTATTGTCTCTAAAAGTAACCTATTGTCTCTAAAATTCACCTATTGTCTCTAAAATTCACCTATTGTCTCTAAAAGTCACCTATTGTCTCTAAAATTCACCTATTGTCTCTAAAAGTAACCTATTGTCTCTAAAATTCACCTATTGTCTCTAAAAACCCTATTGTCTCTAAAATTCACCTATTGTCTCTAAAATTCACCTATTGTCTCTAAAAGTAACCTATTGTCTCTAAAAAATTGTCTCTAAAATTCACCTATTGTCTCTAAAATTCACCTATTGTCTCTAAAATTCACCTATTGTCTCTAAAAGTAACCTATTGTCTCTAAAATTCACCTATTGTCTCTAAAATTCACCTATTGTCTCTAAAAGTCATTGTCCTAAAATTCACCTATTGTCTCTAAAATTCACCTATTGTCTCTAAAAGTAACCTATTGTCTCTCAAATTCACCTATTGTCTCTAAAATTCACCTATTGTCTCTAATTGTAACCTATTGTCTCTAAAAAAATTGTCTCTAAAAGTCACCTATTGTCTCTAAAATTCACCTATTGTCTCTAAAAAGTAACCTATTGTCTCTAAAATTCACCTATTGTCTCTAAAATTCACCTATTGTCTCTAAAAGTCACCTATTGTCTCTAAAAAACCTATTGTCTCTAAAAGTAACCTATTGTCTCTAAAAAATTGTTCTAAAATTCACCTATTGTCTCTAAAAGTCACCTATTGTCTCTAAAATTCACCTATTGTCTCTAAAATTCACCTATTGTCTCTAAAAGTAACCTATTGTCTCTACCTATTGTCTCTAAAATTCACCTATTGTCTCTAAAAAGTAACCTATTGTCTCTCAAATTCACCTATTGTCTCTAAAATTCACCTATTGTCTCTAAAATTCACCTATTGTCTCTAAAATTCACATATTGTCTCTAAAAGTCACCTATTGTCTCTAAAATTCACCTATTGTCTCTAAAAAGTAACCTATTGTCTCTAAAATTCACCTATTGTCTCTAAAATTCACCTATTGTCTCTAAAAAAATTGTCTCTAAAATTCACCTATTGTCTCTAAAATTCACCTATTGTCTCTAAAATTCACCTATTGTCTCTAAAAGTAACCTATTGTCTCTAAAAAATTGTCTCTAAAATTCACCTATTGTCTCTAAAAGTAACCTATTGTCTCTAAAATTCACCTATTGTCTCTAAAAATCTGTCAACGTTACATAATTCCAGTTATTAAAGAAAATTCGAATATAAAATATAATTTTCAGAAACTTTATTTGAGAAAAATTAGTTGATTTAAAGTTTAATTAATCTGATTTGAAACAAATATTAATTACTTTAAGTTTAA